CACGGCACTGTGCACCCCCACCTGGCCGCCGCCGCCGCCGCCGCCCACCTCCCCACCCAGCCCCACCTCTACACCTACACAGCGCCCGCAGCCCTGGGCTCCACCGGCACTGTGGCCCACCTGGTGGCCTCCCAGGGCTCGGCACGTCACACCGTGCAGCACACTGCCTACCCGGCCAGCATCGTCCACCAGGTGCCCGTGAGCATGGGCCCCAGGGTGCTGCCCTCGCCCACCATCCACCCGAGTCAGTATCCGGCCCAGTTTGCCCACCAGACGTACATCAGCGCCTCGCCAGCCTCCACCGTCTACACTGGATACCCACTGAGCCCCGCCAAGGTCAACCAGTACCCTTACATATAAACACTGGAGGGGGGGCGAGGGGCGTGGCTGCGGGGACGGGGAGAGGAGGAGGGACCTTGGTGGGAGCCGGGCTTTTCATACTGAAGATGCCGCACAGAAACAATGCAAACGGGGCAGGGGAGGGGGCCGGGCAGGGCTGGGACGGGACGCAAACGAAACTTGAACTAGGAAGTGGGAGGACTTAGAGCAGAGAAGAGGACATTTTAAAAATGAAGGGATTCAGGAAGGGGGAATCTATGCTTTTTATTTTAAAAAAGAAAAAGGAAAAAAAAAGAAAACGTCAGTAACAACAACAAAAAAAACACAGTTCATGAACCCATTCTGCACCAAACGGGGAAGGAGAAGAAGAATGTGATGGAAGATTCTGGAAGTGGGGGGCCCCAGTTTTTGAAGAACTTTATGAACTTTTCAAAAGATTATTTTCATATGGCAGCAAGTGACATTTAAGAATTTGCTGTCAGGGGACACCTGCTATGGAAATCCAATAGATTTTTAATTATTGAACATGAGAATTAGGGATTTTTCCAGAACTCTAAAGGGTCAGCAGCCCTCTGGAAGTTCAGGCCATGACCTGGGGAGGCTGATATTTGGGGGTTGGTCTGGGGTGGGCAAAGCCCAGTTCTGGCTCACTCGAGACCGGTAGGGGGTGGCCAGGCTGAAGGAAGACCGCCTCCCCCCAGGAGAGGGCACATTTTCTCTTTCTGAGCACTCTGGATAAATCCCTAAGCAATGTTACTCCTCAGATGTCATTAATAATGTGTGTTGCAAACTTTAGGGTTTTTTTTTTTTTCTTTTCTGAAGATTTATTTTCTCTTTGAATCAGTCCCTAGTCACATAGCGTAGGGCAGCGGTCGCCGACACCCTAGTGGAATGTAGCACTCTACACCCTTGTTTTCTGCTTTGTGTTCAACTCCAATGATACCAATAGACTATTCCTCAGTGTAATTGCACAAAAAAAAAAAAGCGATATAACATAGGCATGTAACCAATGTGGTGGTCCAGGCGTGTGAGCGTGAGCGAGCGTGAGCGAGCACGTGTGGGTGTGAGCGCGGCCGCCGCCCTTCCCGTGTGTCCCCGGGCACGCGGCCGTCACGGCCCCCGCGGTCTCGACCTGACATCATTCCGTCCTAGTGCCTTACCGACGACAGACGCGTGAGGGTTCACGTCCGAGGAGCTGACGGAGGCGAGTCAGAGCATCGCAGCTCGTCTTTTCTGCTGTTGCAACGTTTTACTCTGGTCTTTCCTTTTTTTCTTTTTTTTTTTTTTTTTTTTAATTTTAATTTTATTTCAATACCAGTTGTCGTTCTCGGGCTGTTTACTAGCAGAGGGGTGTCAGGGCACCGGCAGGGCTGGGAGAGCCCGCCGAAGTTGAGAGGTGATGGTGTTCGTTGACTTTTATATGGAGACAGAGCAAAAAAGACTTGCCACCCCACGCCCTCACCCCACCCTGCCCCAAGTCCTACCCGTGCGGCCGGCTCTGCCGTTGGTGGGACCAGAGGTCCCCTCTGTTTTTGCCAGACAGCTGCCTCCTTCCCAATGTGGCAGGGATGGAGGAGAGGAGGCCACCTTTAGCCTCCAGGCCCGGCGCACCCTTCCTGTCGCCGTCTGCGGGCTGGAGCGAGGGTCCGGGCCGCCGCCCGAGTTCTCAGATGCCCCGCCGGCTCCTCTGGCTGCCCGGCTGTGTTTCGCTCTGTCTCGCCAGACACGCCCGTCTGTAAACAGCCGTCACCCCGTTCGCTGCTGAGTCTTCCCTCATGTTACCCAGGTCTCCCCACGACAGACGGTTTTGCTTTTCGAGGGCTCTGGCGGGCGGAAGGTGGGCGGGACATTTACGAGGGTGACCGGGGGTCTCACACTGCACCTTGGAAAACACTCCCGCTGCCCGTTATGTTTCCAAAGAAATGAGCCCTTCGCCCTCTTGCACCTTTGATACGTTCTGGAAGTTTCCTCAGGCTTCGAACCTGCTGGGGATGGGGTTCACAGCAAGTTATGCTTACACACGTGAACGGTGGGAGACTGTCTGACCATAGGCCTTCAAAAGGTGGTGGTCCTGCTTGTCTGATGCTCGATGCTGGGTTCCTAAGTGACCGCAAAGCCAAGTGTCCAAGGTGCAACGAGGGGTCCCCAGTGTCGGCAGTCCACCCCCATCCTCCGCCTCCCTTCCTCACTCTGCAGCCCCCCTTAACGATCTACTGTGAAAGGTGTTTTTATAGTGGTATCTGACCTAATTCAATGAGGAAGCCAAACCGTTTCCTTAGCTCTTAGCTGTGAAATGTGAAATAACTCTGGAAATGTCCCTTCCCCGACCATAAGTTCTACTTACCTTACAAAAAAATCGGTCCCCAAACTGGAACCAGCTTAGTCCAGGCCTTAGGCTGGAAGGAAGGACACCGTGACCCACTAAAGGCGGGGCACACCTGGGCACACCTGGGCACCCGCAGGACGAGACGCTCCTCCTGCAGCCACGATCTGTGGTCTCCAGAAGTGGGCAAGGGCCGTCGTTCTGTGGTCTCTCTCCAGAAGCGGGAACGTGGCCGGGTCAGAGAGGGCGGGGGAGCCAGGTCTGCAGGACACGGGAGCCAGAGCCCCCCTGGTCCCCCGCCCAGTTCCGCAGGTCTCGGCTGCGGCCCAGCCTGCATTTGCCTTACTGGGTAGCATCCCGGATCCCCTCGCACAGTTCACTTCCAGCCCTTTCTACATCTGATTTTTTACGGGAAGAGACAACACAGCCTTCCATTTTAAAGAAAATGATTTCGTCTACTAAGTTGAAAGTCTGACTCTTTCACCTGACATGTTTTCCTTTTCTTCCAGATCAGGAATGAAAGTTCCGTGCTGCTCATAAAGATAATATTATTGTACTAATTATTTTGGTTATTGCCATTGTAATTATTATCATTGTTATCATCCTGTTGATATTTTAGTTGGGGTTTGAAATGCACACTTATTCCATGTATCTTTGTGTTTTCTCTTTAATATTTAAACTTATTATATCTGTGAGTATGTGAGTAGACAGGAGGGACATACAGATGTCCAGTTTTGTCAGACAGAAAAAAAAAAAAAGAAGGAAAGACCAGGAATTAGGAAAATTCTGTCATCTCTGTTCCACAAAGAGCTGTCAAAAAGGTTCACCACAGAACCGAAGTTTGGAGGCCTTTTCCTGTCCAGGCCAGATCAGGCCCTTGACAACACGGTCCCCATCAGTAGTGTGTGTTTCTAGACTCGAGTCCTGGGAGGGGATCTGAGGAAGCGTCTCGTGGGCTGAACCCCCCGGCCGTGGCCTTCTCTCTCGCTTCCTGTGCTCTCCTTGCTTCTGAAGTCTGCCAGCTAGATCCGTGGCCTGCCTCACATCTGCTATTTACCTGGAAAGCAAAAAACAAACAAGCAAAAAACCCTCTGCCCAGCGCTTGCCCAGTGCTGACCCAGCCCCTCTCCCAAACGCCCTCTCTTTTCCCGTCGGGGCAGCGGGGCTGTGGCAGAGGCGGTTGGCCCTTCCTTGAAGCCACCGGGTGTAACGAGCCGATGTGAGGGTGCCAGGCGGGCGCCGCCTTCCCCTGGGAAACTTAGGCCTTGCTTCTCCCTCGCTCACCGCACTGCCTGCTCCCCCGCGTGCCCCCCGCGTACCCCACCGTGCGTCTTCTCGGCATGCAGCTCTAGGGACGTGTCTGGGAGTCCGAGAAAGATGGGGGGATGGTAGGAGGCCAGAGGACATTGACAAAGCCTAGAGGCCCCCCCCCGACACTGCGCTCCACACCCCCGCTTGAAATCACTGGCCAGCCTGGGGCACAGCGGGGCCTCGTGGCCATCCCCACTGTCCCCAGCGGCATCCCTCGTGCACTGCACTGTGTGTGGTGGGCTTTTTAAATCAGTTTGAGGTGTCCGTACGCCACCCACCAGACCCAGAAGCTACAGGCCCGGTGAGGAAAGGGTTGAAATGAGCGGCTTTGCTCACAGAGCGAGGCGTCCGGCAGTGTCCAGTCCCACAGACGCTCGGCAAACATTAGTGCACACACCCCACCCCCGGTCCCCACCCGCTTTCCTCTTACAGCCCCAAGCACAGGGCTGTGGCACCGGAAGCCCCCAGTGGGAGAGGCCGGCCTCTGCGTGAGCTCCTTTGACTCACTGGGTTCTCCCATCCCACCCCCCGACTCTGATGAATAAAAGGCTGCCCTTCCCTAGGACCAAGCTCTCCAGTAGAGGGATGCGAACCTAGTCCTTTTATAGACCCCAGGTGACCTAGAGCAGCATCTGTTCTTTAATCGGCTCTTTCCTCTGCTGAAGAAACAACGTTAGAGGAAGAGGGGAAGAGGTTAAAAAAAAAGAAGAAGAAAAAAGAAGAAGCAGGCCCAGGTCAACCGTGCAGTTGGAGCCTGGGAACCACAGGTCCATGTGCTTCTGCTCAGCGGGTCCTTGCTGCCCCATGTGGGCGTTTGCGCCCGTGTCTCTGCGCTCAGGGCCTCTTTCATGATGTTTTAGCTGTTTCCAAGGGGAGGGGCGAGCAGGTGGCCAGAGGTGGGAGGCTGAGGCTTGACGCCAGTTACTGCTGTGAAGTGGAGTATGTGGCTGATGGGATTCAGAAGGAAACGAAGGCTTGGGGCAAACCGACGGTTGTCTCTGGACTGGACTTGCATTCTGGCCTTCCTGGCGGCTGAGTGGCTTGCAGGCTGTGGGAGCCAGCTGGCCTTGTCCTCTTCACCCTGGAACACTCAACCCGCCCAGACACCAGATTGTTGGATGTAAGGAAGGGAAGGTGAGGTTAGCACCGGTGCTCACGGGCTAATTTCCCTCGACCAGACCTCGGGAATTGCAAACACTCATTTTTGAACAAGCTTGCGGTGGAGGATTTGGGTCGTGAGTGTGCGTGAGTGGAGCAGACTTTCTTGGAAACGGGAGGAAGGAGATGAGGAGGCTTAAGGAGCCGTTGCTGAAGGGCTGTGGTTGATGACAGAGCCGCACCCCCGGGCTGGCCCCAGCTGTCATCCCAGATTCTCTGTCTGATCCTGGGGCTCCGGTGGGTTGTGGGGCTCTTGCTGGCCTGCCCAGTTACTGCTAGGACAGGAAACAGAAGAAAATAACCAGGCACCCACAAGTAGCAGAGAGAATTCAACAGAGAGGCAAGGATTCCTTCCGCAAGCCTAGCCCGGGACCTCACAACGCCAGCGTCAGCAAGTTTGCCACCAAACATTCCAGCCCTGGTGACTTGGCATGCTTCTCGCCCTGTCTGTGTTTTTTCTTGCTGGTGTGTCGTACAGACTTCAGATGAGGAACCCCCAAAAGTGAGCAGGCCAGAGATGTCTGTACCAAATCGGAAAGGAAGGTAGAACTGTCCCTTTCTTTAGCCAAAGAACCCTTCTCAAAGACACCTCCGAATATGGACAAAATGGCATTCCTCTCTTTCCTTTCTGGGCAATAATGACATCGTGAGTGATCAATTCCATTTGTCTTTCTCTTTCCTCTTTATCTCGACTTCTGGTTTTTTTGGGGGGGGTTTGGTTTGGTTTGGTTTTTTTGCATTTATTTCAAAACTGTACTTATCTTTCAAGAGAAGTGGAGACTGGTCACACTAACACTGCTGCTATCAGACTTGGAGGCACCGCACAAATCCGTGAGCTTAGCCAACCTCGTGTTCCCCCGCGTGGGACCAAAGCTGACCTTCTGCCGGGAGGTTCGGCTGCGTTGGGGCGAGATGCACGCTGGGGCTGGGCTCGGGGCGTCAGTACTTTCCCACTTCGAATCTGCACAGACCAGACTCTGTGAAATCTCGGTTGGGCTACTAGAGAATCGAAGATGGTGAAATGACATTTAAATGCAATAGGAACCTTTCAGCGGCTTTGGTGCCGCTGCTCAGTAGAGTAACCCAGCGCGGCAGAGGCTTCTCACATTCTTGCAGCTTCCAGAAGCTCAGGAGAGCCAGATCCAGGTGATCCCTGCTCCTCAGACTCCGTGGGTGTTTACAAAGAGGGGACCTCCAGCAGGGCACACTTTCTCAGAATACCGGTAGCAGAGGGATCGTGCCAATGCCCCCAGCTCGACTCCCACGGGCCTTCGAGAGCATCCAATCTCAGACCCTGCGTTAGGACGTTACGTTGACTGTCTCTTATGCGTCAAGACTCACAATGTCCCTAGTAAGTGATAGCCAGCATTCGTTGAATGTTTTCAATCTGCCGGGCCCCACGCCAAGCCCTGTGCCAGGGCAGCCTCACAGTCACCCCATTTGCAACACCCCCACTTCTGACGAGGAAGCTGACACTCTTAAAAGTAGCATGTGTATAAGGAAAGAGAGTACAACAGTGGTCCAAAATCTCCACATTTCTAGTGACGTTTTTGTTAATGAGGCCTTTACTGAGATATGATTTTATTTCTCTTTTTTAATTAACGGCAACGCACGGCCTCCTATTTCTGAAGAACCGTGTAACGATATTCCCATCGACTGTGTGCCAAACACTGTGCTAAAAATTGCTCACTGGTGATCTCGTTTAATTTACTCTTCATCATAACCCTATGAAATCAGCAATATCAGTCTCTACAGACGAGGCAGCTGGCGCGGAGGGCTGGGAACCCACCCAGGGTCAGACGGCTAGTCAGGGGGCCAGGCTTTCAAGCTGGGCCTGCCCAGAACCGAGCTCGCAGCCGTAGCCTCGGCCTCTCCCGTGTGTAAGTGCAGAGAAGGGCCCCAAAGGGACGAAGGGACGTCGCCCCGCGCCATCCCTGCCCGCGCGTGGAACGCAGTAGGTCTGCTTGGAGAGCGCGTCCTGAGTCGGATGCACGCAGAAGGGGCGGCATTAGTTTGACTTTGAGAGAAAATCGTAGGAGAGTTTCTTTCGCTTCGTGGTAGAATTCATTTTAGATTCCAGTGGACCAGCTAGCTTTAGTAGTGCTGCTACAACAGACTCCTCGGAGAGTGAAGAAAAAAAACTGTTCTTTGCTTCTTTAAAAAAAAAAAATAGTTTTTTTCTTGCTTATAGTTAATTCTAGAAAGGCAATACTAAAGGTATATATTTTTTTCAAAATGCTATTTTTTACTGCACTGATTAAATATGACAACTCCGGTCTCTGTAATCGATCCGCTGTTCAGCTCTGGGTAGAACCAGATGCGGGATTCACACCAAATTTGTAAATACCGTGTGTGGGTCTGGTGTCCAGGAACTTTTTCCTTTGTGTAAAAAAAAAGAAGAAGAAGAAGAAGAAGAAGAAGGAAGAAGAAGGGGAAAGACAAGATGACTTTTAGAAAGGGAAACAAAAGTAATTTTTCTCTGAGATAGCCTTCTCGAAGAAATGGGAAGCAACGGTTGTATAAACCGAGGAAAACCAGCCGACCCCGAGGACGTAGGAAGGTGAGTCTCTTGCCCAAGTAGGAGATTAATAGTAATACAGAAGCATTTTTATCTCGGTTGAAAGGTGACAGGATTTAGAAATGCTTTAGAACTTTTTTAATTTTTTAGAAAAACTCTTTATTTGCTATGAAACATCTCGGTTGTTTGGGGTGGGTTTTTCGGTTCCTTTTTTATTTTAAAAACGTCTTGATTGCCTGGCTCTAGGCTTGTTTGCCTAAATTCTTAGGTAGTTTACACAAGTTCTAGGGTCTTCTAGAACTTTAACTCCATTGGAAGCAAACCCAACTAATCAGAATTTGAGATCCTGGTTGGTTTCAATAGGTGTTCTAGAATTCTGACAGAACTCCTAAAGATTTTTTTAAAGAAGGTTTTAGATACATTATCTTACACAAACTGTGACCTAATGGCAATAATTACCTCAAATGTGGGCATTCATCCTGGTTTTAGCCTTTTTTTGAAATCATGTAGCCAGCTCGATCGTGGGGTCTAACAGAATGAACTCTGTGTGGGCTGAAAATGATTAATGCACACACCCCGGTCTTTGTTGCTTAAGTAAATTCTGAAATCGCTGATCCTTACAACAAAAATTAAACCAAGGAAGAGGGTATTCTTGCGTGTTGTAATCCAGTGTGATATCCCAATGCACACGTCAAGTATATATGTTTTTAGCTACTGTAAAATGCTGTTAGCCTTCTAAGATATCAAGAGAATCACATTTTCAGTGCGTGAACTAAATAATTGACTGTGGATACTTAAGCATATTTCTGGCTACATTTTATAGTTAAAGTGTTTTATAGTTTACATTTAAACTGGTACTTTTTAACAAAAATTTCTGTTTATAACTGACATCTTCAAACCCCAGTGATGGCTTCTTTAGTTGGAGGCCACTTCCCCCCAAGGCAGGTGTGTTCTACCCACTGCGTTGTGTCGTGTAGCCCAACACGAGCATTTCCCTCCGTGTCATGGTCTCCACGTGAACGTGAGAGAATGTGGAAGGGTTTCCAGGTGATGTCTGCAGCCTGGGCCAGATGCGAAGCCCTTGGGCCACGTTGTATCAACACTTGTCTTCAAGGCCGTCTCTTTGATAGCTTGTAAGAGGCAGAGAGAACAGATACCTGGTTCGTCGATTTTGTCTTATTTTGAATGTTTAACTTATTGATTGATCCACTGACTTCCGGTCACTAGGCAGTAGGAGACACTGGGATTCAGGTGGCCCGAGGGTACAGCCGCCGTTTCTGGGCCCCCTGGCGATGTTTAGGTCGGTGTTTTGCAGGGGAGAGTCACACACCCCTATACCCACAGTCACTGGTTGTTTTTCGATATATCTGCTGTCATTTCTTCTTTTTCTCCTTTAAAACAAAATAAATGCAAAAGGATGTTTACTTTCTACTCTGTGTCAAACTTGGATTTGAAGCCTAGGTCAGTGGGACTGGGGCGTAGCAGGGGGAGGACCTTGATTCCTAGAGGTCGTAAATGTGGCTGACTGAGCAGGAAGAGGGGGGCTGGGGAACCGAGGCAGTGGGGGGCCACTGAGACCCGTCAGAGCCAAGCTCGTACTTGTAAGGGCAAGAGAGACACTTGGGAGCCAGGGCCCCGGTGTCCTGCAGGAACGGACTGGAAGATGCAGGTTCCTCCAGAGTTTGGGCTCCTGTTTTGGTTTCTGTTGTGAGGAGGGTCTGCTGTGATCTTATCCCTTTAGCAGATAAGACCTTGAAAACTGCGAAACACCTGGGCCCAGGGACCTGTTTGTGTGGCGGGTTTTTTTTGTTTTTTTTTAACGCATTTGCTTTTTTCCTGTGAACTCTGTTGATAGTATGTTTTTATTACGATTTTTTGTTAGAAGTATTACTGTAAAATATTTTTCCTCTTGTCCCCCTCCTAATTATACTCCCGCTTTCCTCTCGTTGGTTCTCCTCTTTGCTTTTAACTAACCAAATGAATTTCATGTCACTGTCTTTGGGGCTTAACAATATTTTTTAAAACGAGATATAAAAATTGGCTTTAAAAAAAAAGTAAATATACCGTATCTGAAAAAGGGCTTGGCCATCGTTCTCGTTCCCTTTCGGCCGGTCCCCACACGAATCCCCCCCCATAGCTGCCGCCGCCTCTTTGTGTTGGGCCACTATCCCCAAGGCCACCTCGGCCTCTGCCCCGCTGTCCCCACAGCCCGACACCCAGGCACCCAGGATTCCCAGGAAGCTCTCGAGAGCCAGGAAGGAGGGCCCACTTGGCCTTGTGAGTGGTGGTCTTGCCTCCCTGTTCGATATCTTCGCCTGCTTGGTTAAAGGGGCAATCGACATTATTATTATTGTTATTATCGTTGTTAATTTTAATAGTTTGGCTCAGGTTATATAAGGCAGAACTTGGGAAGTGAGAAGTGACTTGACCATGCCCATCCTTTGTAGCTTCCTGTGACTTCTGAATGGAACCTAAAGCATCCCCCGCCCCACTCACCCCTGCTCCCTTCCAGGCGAACATCCCCGTGGGCGCTGCCTCCACGTCACGTGGTTCCCCCCCACCCTCTCCCTCCCCTCACTTACATTACTGCTCACTTAAACTTTCTTCCGTGGCTTCTCCAGGGCACAATCACTTCGGCCCCCAAAGCATCTCCTCACCCTCTGTGTGCGTATCTGTTTAACCAAATGAAGTAGACCAGGAAGTCACACTTTGGGGCAACAGAATTTCTAGTTTAGTAGAGTCACTGTATAGATATAGATGTTGATATATATGTTTGTGTATATATATATCAAACCAAATTGCGGATAGGAGAAGTATAGCTTTATGGATGAGAAGGAAGAGGAGCTTTTGGAAGTCAGAGTCAGCGTCTGGCACACTAGACGGGGCCGCAGATGGCCCCAGGCTGCACGTTCCGGACCCAGGCCTGAGGCGTGGCGCCAGCCCCTAGGTGGGTGGCCCCGAAGGCGGCCGCTGCTCCCTGTGGGTCGCCAGCATCAAGGGCATAGATGAGTGGGGGAGGCCATAAGTCAGAATGACTGGAATTTTCCATCCCGTTTTGCTTTGACCACATGTATTGAGCTGCCGCCTCTGATGGTAGATCACGTTTCCAAAAATGGCATCCATCAGGATGGAAAGAGAACCGATCTGTAGAAATGTTTACCTTTCAACTGCCCCTGAATTTAGGACACTCTGGATAGAAAGACTCACTCCCCAGAATGAGAACAGGGAAGAGGAGGCCTGGTGATGCTCGGTCACCCGTCCAAGGGACGCGGCCCCCTCCCCACGGTCATCTCGTCTCGATCTTTCTCCACCAGGTCATCTCAGCTCGATAACCCTGTGAAAGCCCCGGTCTGTTGTGTTCCTTCACTGTACGGTTTCTGTAATAAAAAGTGTTCATCCACGTTAACCTTTGTGAAAATTATTGCGTGCAACAGTATTTTCTCGTGTACCTCTTTTTCCTACGTGAATCGTCCCTCCTTTCTTCTTTATTTATAAATGTCTACTTTTTTTTTTTAAAGACAAACCAATGTGTTGTAGACCTCTATGTAACCTACTCCTTAGTCTCATATTATAGGTATGTTATAAGAATGGATATTTTACTTGGCTTTAGAATGTTTTACAAGAAAAATAATTCTTAAACTGATCAAGTCCTTGCTACTAAAATGCTTGTGTTTTTCATCATGACGTCGTGTGCTTCTAAATTAATAATCATTTTCGTTGTAGAAAAATGGAGTGAATTTATATTAGTCTTGGAAACTAATAATAGCATTGTAAATTTATGAGATGATTTTAACAGAAAAAAAATTATAGAAGAATATAGTTATTTTAATTGTAATATTACTAACTGTAGGGTGAGAGGGGGTCCTGTCGTGGTGAACTATGTTATAGCTTGTTACTCACAGTTTCTTTTTGATCATTTTTTCGGTCTCTGAGGTGAAACGAGTTATTAATTACAATTTGTAAACTCACATATGCATATTGTATATGTGTAGAAATGTAATCACACTTTGTCTTGGAATTACATTAAACTGTTTGGAATCACTGTACACCCGGCCCAGCACACTTATTTATTCTAGAACCAGACCAGTTACAAGACTAAAGAGGCTGTTGCACGTGACAGCTTCAGGAATCACTTAATACATCCGGACACGTTCGGAACCCACAACTGTGTTGAGAATGTGCCAGGGTCACCGTGCGTGGCCGCGGAGAGGGGACTTTGAGGTCCTTTCACTACCAGCTCCTGTGCGGCTGGACGGGGGAGGGTCCCCTCGCTTCCCCTGCCTCTTCTGAGCCGTTTCAACCCCGTCTGTTCCAAACTCCTCCCCCGAGGCCCGAGGACTCGCTGTCCTCCTCTGTCCTAGGACCTTTCCGGTGCTCGTCCCAGACCTGGGCGCGGCCTGCAGCCTTCCTCAGCACTCAGGCCCTGCCCTCGCGGACCTCAGTGTCAGGCGGCCCCTTGGGGCCCCTCGCTCATCGACCTCATCACGGGGGCCCTCCCGAGACTCCCCACCTGAGCCGTGAGTGCCAAACCTCATCCTGGCCCCCAAGCCTCAGCTGTGCCACCTCAGGACACGTGAACGCCACACCCTCCTCTCACTGTGACGGCCCATCATTCCAGCCTTTTCTGCTAACCATCAACATTTACCATTTCGACCATTGTAAAGTGTGCAACTCGTGGCGTTAGCACATTCACGAGCTATTTCTAGAGCTTTCGTCGTTCCAAACAGAAGCTCCGCACTCATTAAAACAGCAGCTCCCCGTACCCAGCCCTTGGCAAACACCCTTCTGCTTTCTGTCTCTGAATTTGCCTGTTCCCGCGGAAGTGGAATCATACAATATGTGCCCTTTTTTGCCTTATTTCACTTAACGTTTTCAACATTCATGGATGTTACAGCATGTATCAGAACCCCCTCCCTTTTTAAAACTGAGTAACTTCCATTATGTGTCTATTCCTCGTGGTGTTTACCCAGTATGTGTCTATACCACGTGGTGTTTATCCATTCCTCCGTTGGTGGGTTAGTGGGCTGTTTCTACCTTTAGACTCTCGTGAATAATGCTGCTGCGAACAGCTGTGTGCAAGTTTCTGAGTCCCTGCGTTCAATTCTTTTGGTTCTATACCTAGGAGCGGAATTGCTGGATCACGCAGTGATTCTTAACTTTTTGAGGAGCTGCCAAACTTTCCCACAGTGGCTGCACCATTTAACATTCCCACCAGCAAGACACAAGGGTTCCAATTTCCTCACCCTGGCCAGTGCCCTCGGGTCTCAGGCCCGCCGGCCGCCTGGCCCTCCGTTTTCTGTGCCCGCCGGCCTCACAGGCTTCCCCGCCGGCCTAAACCCCGCCCACCCCCGCTGCACCCTCGGCTCCCTGCCACACCCACTTGCTGGGTGGATTCAACCATCACGGTCTCTGGGCTGCTGGAGAAGACTTTGGACAAGCGATCCCTGGCTGAGGTCCGGCCTTCTTTGCTCATCGGCTCCCTCTGTGGCTAACCGGAAACCTCACTACACTCTCCAGCCCCTACCCCTCACTCTCATCGGAAACCCGACTCCCCACAGAAATCCGGGGGCCATTACAGAGCTCCC